AAGGGACTTGTCTTTAATAGAAATGATGAAACCATTCTTATCAAGACATGAAACAGAAATAATGTTTCTGCTAATTGCAGGAACGTACAAGCAATCGTTTAATTCCAACATTAGACCACTAGGCAAGACTAAACTATAAGTTCCGATTGCCAAAGCTGCAACAGGTGCACCATTGCCGACTCGGAGTTCAATCTCGCCTTGAGCTAACCGTCTACTCTGCTTCAGTCCCTGCATGGTAGTACAGATATGAGACCCACATCCAGTATCTAGTACCCATGATAAAGATATAGACATGTTAACTTCTATAACATACACCTCAGAAGAAATGGTCGTACCTTCCTTCTTCTTGGTTGCGAGGTATGTCTTGCAGTTTCTTCTCCAGTGGCCTGCCTTACCACAGTGATGACATTTGCCCTTTGCAACTCCTCCTATGGGTTTCTGGGTTGCAGATGAAGTGGACTTCGATTTAGGCTTTCCGACTGTCCTAGCCTTAATCTTAATCCCCTTCTTCGGCTTCCCCTTTCCGCCTTGGACCATAAGGACGGAAGCACCCTTGCCCTTAGTAAGGTTCTCCTCTGCAGTCTGGAGCATTTTAAGAAGCTCCGGAAGGGGTTTGTCAAGATCATGCATCATGTAGTTCATGACAAAACCCTTATACAGCTCAGGGAGCGACTGCATGATCATGTCCGTTGCCAACTCCTTCTGCAAGGAGAACCCGAGTTTCTCCAGATTGGTTATGTAACCAATCATTTTGAGAACGTGCGGACCGACCGGGTTCCCTGAAGAGAGCTTGCAACTAAAGAGAGCCTTACTCACGAGAAAACGTTCATGCCTGGATTGCCCCTGGTATAGCTGCCACAAGGCCACGATCATCTCGTGGGCCTTCATGTCCTCGTGCTGTTTTTGCAGCTCGGTTATCATGGTAGCCAGCATGACACAGCTAACCTGGTTGTCATCCTCAACGTGTTTCTCGTAGGCATCTTTGACCGTTTTCGGGGCGTTAGCGGGAGGGGCAGGAGGAATGGGCTTTTCGAGCACATACTCTTTCTCATCCATGCGGAGAACAATGCAGAGATTGCGTTGCCAGTCAACAAAGTTTGTTCCGTTCAATTTATCTTTATCCAGAATGGAACGCAGGGCGAGGTTGTTTGTGTTGTTTGCCATCTACAGAATTTTGCGAAGATAGTTATTATCATGAATTAAGTATCTAATAGGTCTTTATTAAATACTCTCCCACTATTTCTAACAAGTCAACTACCCTCAGGTACGGAACCTATTGACTTGGGGTTTCTATTTGAAGAATACCCTAGCGGGCCAAGATCCATATTTTATTTAACTATAGTTGTGCTTTGCATCTTGCCCTACAGTTAAATTATTTCTGGTAGGAATAAATTCCAATTGTAACAATTTACAACTCTGGTTGGATGATCTGATTTTATTTATTGATCCTACCGCAGTGCCCTAAGTCTCTCATCCTTATGACCAAGACTTAGTTAAGACTAACCCGGGGCGAGTCAGTACCCTAGTTACGTGTTTCGCGCCTAACCAACGTAAACCGAGCGTCTCACTTGGGTGAGTCCGTTACCGATCTAAATTGGGTTTGACGAGTGACGGGGCGTCGGGGTGGCACAGACTTAAAATTCTGAGGGATTTATAACGTAGTCTTGCCTATGGCATACACCGCGCGTATGCACTAGCGAAAAACACATACATGCATACATTCAATCATACATCACATGCATAATAAGTAAACGTGAAATGATTGTGGCTCCTAAAGAAAAACAAACAATAGCGCCTTGATCAAGAGATCTCTATCTCCGGCCCATCACGTCTTCCTTAGGATTCTCTATCACGAACGGACTTCGTCTTCTTCTCTTCTTATAATTTTCGAGAGAAAAGAATATTTAAGGTAAAGAAGAGAATTACATCCAGAGTATAGAGATGAGGCACGACACGCAGGCCTTATTTAAAATTACAACAAATATAACTAAGCCACAATCATCCACCATGCAATAATACATACAAGCATCACATGCATCACATCATACATATTAAAGCATACATCGGGCGAACAGCGCTCGCCCCAGACCTAGTTTATTCTATTCTACGGAATAAACTATCAACAATAAATTAATTAAACTAGCAAGGAATTTAATTAAAAATAATAAACTACTTTAAATTTCCAGAATGTTAGAAATTTGATTTTCTAAATTCCAGAAAATAAAATATTTTATATTTACCGTATGTATATATATATATATATAAATTCGAAAAAGGGCTTTTATTTCGAATTAAATATATATATGTTTTCTAAATTAGAAAATAATTATTGGAGACTCCCAGTAAACTTTATTAATCTGGAAATCCTAAAATTCCAGAATGAATAAAATTTAAAATTTTGAAAACCATTTTTCAAAGCTAGAAAACCGAAATTATATTGTGAAAATATATTTCGAAATTCCAAAAATATCAAAATTTATTTT